ACCAAAGGTATATCATATCACATGCAAGCAAAACGACGGACACAGTATTCGTCAAAAGAGAGGCATAACCCTGAGCCTATGGAAGGCAATGTATGGGTAAAACATCATATGTGCAGTACAACCCTATACCGGCACACGTGGTTGGGGCCCATTAATCTGTAATAGACGTGGATAGTAGTAAGGATTCTTATAATTGAAAGAGTCCCTGTTGTTGCCTTGATGGAAAGATAGATGCAAATAGCAGAAATCTGCTTTAGATGGTTTCTTCACCACAGCATGTGGACTGCAAACCACTTTAATATTGGAAACAAGATAAGGCCCAGTAGATCTTCCGCCTGTTGCAATATATGTAGTATGCCTTGTTTCTATGTAAAGCACCATAATGTCCCCATCCTGTAATAAGACAAACGATATAAGGATAGTCACTATAAGAGCTTTCACTCTATGGTAGATGTATATTATCATATAGATCGCAAGGAACCTTTTTCAAATGTCCTGTAACAGTCCACTCACCACCTGTGCTATGGGTAGTAGAAAAAAGAAGAGAAATCCTTCATAGGTACTGCCGTGTTGATCCAGGGAACCACCGCTTACATCAGCCGACATTTCGCGGGTTCCGACCTCTCCATGGCGCCTGTACAGCCTTTGCATGACTCATGGCATGTGAAGATGGCTACCTCCTTATAGGTCGGCGTGCGTATCACCAGTGCGCATGACCGGAAGTGACGTATCTGACGTATGACGTCAACGCGTTTCGCCGATGGGCGTATCTCACTCAGCTTCGTCAGGACCAATGAGACTCCTGCATTTCAGCTTCCTATTTATAGTGGGTTTTTAACCCACCCACTTATGCAAATAATAAACTTGCAGCTATTCTCAATGGGAGAAAGGGGCTAAATACTTAGCACAACAGCTGGTCATTATTTAAATTAAAAGAACAGGCAACTGGATATATCAAAGAGAGGAAAGGCTTGGCAATTCTATCAATACAAAAAGAGATGAAAAATAATAAAGAGTTACCACACATTCACCAGAAGATGGCAATATTAATGAGAGAGTCTCCAAACCTGGTCATTAAGTCAAAGGTATCTAAAATCGCAATAATAATTACCACAAAACCACCACAAGATGGCGATATTGATTAAAGAATCCCTATACAGGGTTATTTTGCCAAAGATACCTAAAAACTCAAAGTAATCACTTTACACATCGATCCCACATGAGTGTGGTTTTGAGATCGGCTTTTTACTTTCTTGATAAAACATACCCTACTTTAGGGGGACAGAATGAATTTATTAGCGAGTTGCTGGATTTTGCATTACGACATAATTTCTTCCAATTTAACAATACCTTTTATCAACAGATCAGAGGTACTAGTATGGGGGCACCATGGGCTCCGGCCTATGCATGTCTGCATTTAGGTTTTTGGGAGGAGCAGGTCGTCTTCAGGTCAGCAAGGTTTCTTGCAAATGTCCAGATTTGGTTGAGATATATTGATGATGTCTTCCTTGTATGGAGAGGAACATCAGAGGAATTAAAACTTTTTATGGAGGAGTTAAATAAAAACTCTTTCAATATTGGACTTACATATGTGTTTGATGAAAGGTGCATTTCCTTTCTTGACCTGGAAATTAGACTTGAGAACGGGAGACTCCTTACAAAAACATTTAGAAAACCTACTGCAGCTAATACCTTATTAGAGGCCAGAAAAGTTATCATCCACGTTCACTGATTTCGGGAATCCCAGTGGGACAGTTCCTGAGATGTCGGAGAAACTGTTCAAATATCAATGATTTTAGGATGGAAGCGCAGGACCTCTATAAAAGGTTTAGAGAACGGGGATATTCTCACTCTCAAATTAGAAAAGCTCGGAGACGGGCATATCAAACTGACCGTAAGGATTTATTATCTCCTAAAAAGGATGAGAAGGTTAAATTAAGTGAGCAACCTGTTAGAATGATAACCCAATTTGGAGCTCAATGGCAAGCTGTGAAACAAATATTAGAAAAAACATTGGAAGATTTTAACCCAATGCCCCAAATTGAGTAAAATTGTAGGTGAGCGCCCCCAAATGGTAGCAAGAAGAGCACCAAATCTTGGTGATCTCCTTATTCATTCTGACTATCAACCGCTAAAACAAACAACATGGTTAAAATCACGCACAAAAGGGATGTATAAATGTGGAAAATGTCAAATCTGTAAATATGTGGATCGTACAGATTCTTTCTATGACTCAAGAAATAGAACTCACTATAAAATTCAAAGTCTTATAAATTGCTCTACAGTAAGAGTATTATACATATTGACTTGTCCCTGTAAAAAGATGTATATTGGTAAGACTAAAAGACAACTTAAAGTAAGAATAGGTGAACACTTTAGAGATATCAGATCCAATGATCCTGAAAGCAATCATGCCCAGCATTATGCTAAGTACCATGGAGGTAAATTGGATGGTACAAAAGTGAAAGGTTTCTATGCATTGCATTTTCCCCAAAGGAGAGGTGATTTTGATAGGGAATTACTAAGAAAGGAAAAATATTGGATATATAAACTTGATACATTGTACCCAAAGGGGTTAAATGTTGAATGTGATCTCCAGGTATTTCTGGATAAATAGATCTATATGGTTTTTTCGCTTCATATTGCCATTTTATGGCTAATCTGTGGTAATTCTTTATCTCCATTAATGGTTAAATAACATGTTAAAGTATTAAGATAACCCTTTCTCTTTGGCGAGATGTTCAATGGCCTGTTGGTCTAGATTTGAATACAAGTGTAAAAGTGGAAAAGGACTAACTATTGAGCTAATCAGCCTCCTCTCTATTAAAAATAGTTGTATGCTAATTAATGGTTACTTTGAGTTTTAGGTATCTTTGGCAAAATAACCCTGTATAGGGATTCTTTAATCAATATCGCCATCTTGTGGTGGTTTTGTGGTAATTATTATTGCGATTTTAGATACCTTTGACTTAATGACCAGGTTTGGAGACTCTCTCATTAATATTGCCATCTTCTGGTGAATGTGTGGTAACTCTTTATTATTTTTCATCTCTTTTTGTATTGATAGAATTGCCAAGCCTTTCCTCTCTTTGATATATCCAGTTGCCTGTTCTTTTAATTTAAATAATGACCAGCTGTTGTGCTAAGTATTTAGCCCCTTTCTCCCATTGAGAATAGCTGCAAGTTTATTATTTGCATAAGTGGGTGGGTTAAAACCCACTATAAATAGGAAGCTGAAATGCAGGAGTCTCATTGGTCCTGACGAAGCTGAGTGAGATACGCCCATCGGCGAAACGCGTTGACGTCATACGTCAGATACGTCACTTCCGGTCATGCGCACTGGTGATACGCACGCCGACCTATAAGGAGGTAGCCATCTTCACATGCCATGAGTCATGCAAAGGCTGTACAGGCGCCATGGAGAGGTCGGAACCCGCGAAATGTCGGCTGATGTAAGCGGTGGTTCCCTGGATCAACACGGCAGTACCTATGAAGGATTTCTCTTCTTTTTTTCTACTACCCATAGCACAGGTGGTGAGTGGACTGTTACAGGACATTTGAAAAAGGTTCCTTGCGATCTATATGATAATATACATCTACCATAGAGTGAAAGCTCTTATAGTGACTATCCTTATATCGTTTGTCTTATTACAGGATGGGGACATTATGGTGCTTTACATAGAAACAAGGCATACTACATATATTGCAACAGGCGGAAGATCTACTGGGCCTTATCTTGTTTTCCAATATTAAAGTGGTTTGCAGTCCACATGCTGTGGTGAAGAAACCATCTAAAGCAGATTTCTGCTATTTGCATCTATCTTTCCATCAAGGCAACAACAGGGACTCTTTCAATTATAAGAATCCTTACTACTATCCACGTCTATTACAGATTAATGGGCCCCAACCACGTGTGCCGGTATAGGGTTGTACTGCATATATGATGTTTTACCCATACATTGCCTTCCATAGGCTCAGGGTTATGCCTCTCTTTTGACGAATACTGTGTCCGTCGTTTTGCTTGCATGTGATATGATATACCTTTGGTATAATTTTTGGAAAATCCCCTTCATGGGGTGTAACCTATATGGTAATGATATATGCTTATATATATTTTTATATAGCATGTGATATTGCATACCTACGGTATAATTTTTGCATATACCTCCTATAGGAAGTGTTACCTATGTGCCAGTGCTGCAAGTGCTTTAGACTATTGTGGTCATAGCCTTTGCAGCACACATACCTAGACCGGTCTTGGTGTGTGATTTTTAATGGTTTTAGGTCTGTGTGTATTGTCTCATACTGAGGTGATGGTAAACCAGGGCGATTGCCCATATGTCAATTATTAATGTGAAATAAAGCATAATTTTTTGGAAATTTTTCTGAGTATCGCATTCTGTTCATAATGTAGCCGCTTTTCTGTGAATTTCTTTTCACAAACCCCTTTTTTGTCTGCATAGTCTGGAACATTCCCCGCCGTTTTCCCTCTCACCTCTTACACTTATTCCCTGTTGTCTCTCTGGAGTCTGTTTCTCCTGTGAGGGTATATATTTTTTAACTGACCCTGTTTGAGCAGCCTTAGGCCCTCCTCCCTTTGATACTTTGTTTTTCATGCTGTCAGGGACTATTTAAATTTTCCACAGTTCTGGTCTTGGGGGGGGGGGGGGGGGGGGGGGCAGGTAATTTTTTGATTTGATATCAAAATTTGTTGTCTTCCATGGATATCACCCTCTCAGTTCTTTTCTTCCTTTTTTCTCTCCCCCCGCTCCTGAAATAATCTACCCGGGGCCTCTTCTTCTAGGTCTTTATCTGTTTTACATTGTCCTCCTTCTGATTTTCCTCTAAGACCCCCTGGGTGAACCCCTCCTCAGTTTAAACATATAGTTCAATACATACAGTTCAGTTCCAATGCAATATATTAATCTCAGTACTTTTGCCACTCTCACTCACTTTCTTGTCCCCAATACGGCTTTTCCCTCGTATGAGATCTCTGTCATTTATAAAGAAAAGGGCTTCTTCTCTGAAAAACATTTCCCGCACTCCGAACAGGTATACAACTTCTCCTCCATGTAAGATCTCTGATGTGTGTGAGGACTGGGCTTCACTGAAAAGTATTTCCCGCACTCAGGACAGACATATGGCTTTTCACCTGTGTAAGATCTCTGATATCAGTCTAGTCTTATCTGAGAAAACATTTCCCGCACTTAGAACAGGGATATAGCATCTTCCTCATGTGAGGTCTCTGATATATATGCAGGCTGGACTTCTGTGAAAAACATTTCCCGCACTCTGAACAAGGGTATGGCTGCTCCCTCTTGTGTTATCACTGGTATATATAAAAATAGGACTTACTTGAAAAACATTTCCCGCACTCCGGACAGGTATGCAACTTCTCCTCAGTGTAAGATCTCTGATATATGTGAAAACTAAGCTTCACTGAAAAGTATTTCCCGCACTCAGGACAGACATGTAGCTTTTCTGCAATGTTAGACCTCTGATATATGTAAAGTCTAGTTTTGTCTGAGAAAACATTTCTCACACTTAGAACAGGGATAGCATCTTCCTGATGTGAGGTCTCTGATATATATGCAGGCTGGACTTCTGTGAAAAACATTTCCCGCACTTTGAACAAGGGTATGGTTGCTCCCTCTTGTATTATCACTGGTATATATAAAAATAGGACTTACATGAAAAACATTTCCTGCACTCGAAACAGGAATACTTCTCCCCCATGTGAGATCTCTGGTTTCTATAGAGATTGAACTTCTCTGAGAGACTTTCCCGCACTTTAGGACATCTCTTCCTTTACTCCAAGTCAGGGGTGAGGCGGCTCTAGGTACTTTCTTCTGGGGAACATTGCACTCGACATTACCCTCACACAATGAGTGGATTGTAGGGGGGGTTAACCCAGCCAATTTCCGCGTGTCTCCAGCTGCCACGGTCCTGTGTGCAGGAGGAAGAGAGCCGGCGTCTCCCTTGCTCCAAGAAACGCCAGCCGGCTCCGCTTCCTCCCAGAGCTCCCTTGCGGCAGATCACCTGATCGCCCTGCGTCCACTGAGCTCCGGGGAACACACAGCGCCGAGCCGAGAGCACAGGAAGACCCGCCGTGATGGCCGCCACTCCCCGAGGTCCTCGATCCACGCACCCCGCCAGGCAAGCCCCCGCTTTTCCCGCTAGTCTCTCCAGGGCTTCCCGTCCATCTCTCCCCTTCTCGGCAGGACACTGGAGGTGTTTGAGAGCCCGCACATCGAGCTCCCGCTCCAAGCCATGGTCAGGCTACTTCCACCACAGGTTTTTTTCTAACCTGAAAAAGGAGAGACCTACTTTCCCGGTCTTTCCAGAAATTAAAGAATTAATCAAGGATGAATGGGAGAAACCAGATAAAAGACTAAGTTTGCAAAACAGAGTCTCAAAACTTTATCCCATGCCGGCTTCAGAAGCTAGTTTTTGGGAGACCCCACCAGGTGTGGATGCGGCTTTACAGCAATTTGCCCGGCATGTGCCCTTACCACTGGAGAACTCTGTTTCCGCAATAATAAACAAACAGAGGGCTCACTGGCCTAGAGCATTATCCTTTAAAAAAATAGCTTTAATGTGTAAAGTATTATACTCACAAAATAGATAAAAGTACATGTTCATCTCATGAAAGCAGCACAATACAATCCACAAAACATCAAGATGTGGCAGAACGATGGAATCTCAATAGGCTTGTCACGATCTGCCTGGCAGCGTCTCTATCGGTCCACAGCACGGATTTCCTAAGGGCGCGGTGTCTAAGTCCCAATCTGCTTATTCACCAGGGCCCCTGATGGTGGGGATGGACTTGGAGCAGACTGAGACCAGGTCGTGACCCCTGAGTACGTCCGACAATGGTAGAGAGCACCGTGAGAGGAGTGAAGGGGAAGGAGTCTGCTGTGAAGAGGCTGGCAGACCTGGTGACCAGGAACGATCTCTGCGGGATGGATGGATACCTTGACTGGGTGTCCTTTGTTTTCCCGCCCATTTTTTTTTCTTATTGCTAGGTAACTCCCATGGTGTGCTGACGTGAGGTGAGCCAGGAATATGGAAAATTGTTGTCCCACACTTACCATAATTTTTCTTTCCTGGCATATCGTCACATCTGCACAACTCTTCCCACCTTGGTGGCCTGTCGCTATCTAGTTAAAGAACACTGGGGATCAGGAGGGAGGGTCTTTTGTTCTAGCTATTGGAGGTGGTCCTGGGGGTTACCTATGGAGGATTAACCCATGGTGTGATGACATGAGGATACGCCAGGAAAGGAAGATTACGGTAAGTATGGGACTACAATTTTCAGTATACTAGCTCATGGCATAAACATCTGTGTCAAGACAGCACTGATAATTTAGTCAGGGTCACTAATTCAAGATTTCTTACAGTCCATTAAAAAGGAAATGTCACGCACTTTTCAAGATTTCAGAGAACAATTGCAAGAGTCAACTCAAGTGGAGGTGCTGCCAGGTACGTCAAGAGCAAGCATACCTTCTCTTCCCGCTGCAAGCAGGAAACGAATGGAGGAACAAGGTGTTTCTGGAGAGAAGAGAAGAGTCCATCATCACATCCGGATCTGAAAAAGGGGAATTAAAGGACAATAGAGCCAAAGTCACAAAGATTCCTGTTCCTTTCTGAGAAAACAGAAGACCTCCTTAAGGTATTTACAATACACTGGAAGTAGAGGGGGAACAACATGATCTTTCATTACACAACCAGCTGTATGCAGGCTTGCAGAAGAAATGCTGTCGCACTTTCCCAATTCACTCTGCACTTCTAGATACCATTAAGAGAGAATGGAAGGAACCCGAGGGGAAAGCATTAATTCCCAAAAAATCTGAAGAGGCGCTTTGCCTGAAGAAAAGGCAGGTCTATGTGAAAGCTGCCCTAAAATCAATACCCCATTGTGCAAGATCTCGAAAAGAAGAGATCTTTCCCTTGAGGATGGTGGTTCACTAAGGCCTCATATGCACATAGGACATATTAAAAATGCTGCTCCTCTTGGCAGCAGTGTTTGGGCCGAAAAAAAAAACCGCCTGACACTTGTAAAAGTGTTTAACACTTTTACAAGCGTTTCAGTGCGTTTACAGGTTTAAGTGCCTGGGCGTTAATTCATTTAGTTGGCCAGAATAATTATAATTTGTTATGGCTATTGAAATGAATTAACGTTCAAGCGCTAAACACGCCTAGCGTTAACATGCACTGTTTAGACGTTTAGGTGTGTTTAGACGCATCAAGCATTTTTTTTCTGCCAAAACGCTGCTGCTCCTGGATGCACTGGCAGTGGGTTTTTTTTACAGCTCCAACCACTAAAATTTTCTAAAGGTCTATGTGTACATGGACACATAGGATAACATGGAGGGGTGTTTGGATGCTTAAAAAAAACAAGACGCTTGACGCCCCTAAAAGTGGCTGAAAAAACAACTTGTGTGCATGAGGCCTAAAAGATCCAGTGGAACACAAGGACAAAACCTTAACTTCAATACCGGGCACTTTCACCCCCTTCCTGCCCAGGACTATTTTTAGCTTTCAGTGCTGTTAAACTTTGAATGACAATTGCACAGTCATGCAACAACGTACCCATATTACATTTTTATCATTTTGTCACACAAATAGAGCTTTCTTTTACTGGTATTTAATCACCACTTGGTTTTTCTATTTTTTGCTAAATAAACTAAAAAAGACCAAAAATTTTGAAGAAAAAACCCCCACATTTTTCTTTGTTTCTGTTATAAAATTTTGCAAATAAAGAATTGTTCTTCATAAATTTAGGCCAAAATGTATTCCACTACATTTCTTTGGTGAAAATATCCAAAATCAGTGTTTATTATTTAGTCTGTAAGAAAGTTATAGAGCTATATACCTGAAAATTAATCAATCCTAATGTACTGGCATTTCTTGAGGCTAAAAAAATGTCAGGAGAGTACAGATATACCCCAAATGACCATTTCTTGGAATGTAGACAGTCCAAGGTATTTAGTAAGAGGCATAGTGAATACATTTTTTTGGAAAATGAAGAAATTAAAAAAAAAAAATGTCCAATTTTTTTAAAATGCCGTCACCAGTGTCATTATATAACTGGTGGGTCGGTGATCAGGGATACAGACTGGTGACAGTATGGAAAAAAATGTATACTTTTTTTCACTTTTTTTTATTATATTTTTTTTCTTTGATTTGTTTTTAACACACTGACCAGTGTAGTATAATGTTACCATAGTAACATACTACTTTGGGAAAGTGATAAGGATTTTTTTATTTTATTTTTTTACAGATTATTATTGCTGATAGGAGTGAATTTCACTGCTATAAGCAAGTATTTGTACTGAATGAAATAGATTCATTCAGTGTGTTTTGTTGTGATTAGCTGTGATTGGCCACAGCTAATCACACGGTACAGATGGTGTCACGTACCTGGTTGGGGAGCCTGACTTGGAGAGGAGGCGTCCTCTTACTACTCCTGCTTGGAGCCCTATAGTGGGAACAGAGGGCGCAGTGCCGAGTGGGTCTGGAGCTGATGGTAGGCAGGTGAAGACCCAGGAGATCCGGATGCAGGCCAGGTGCGGATGCAGGAACGTGGGTGCAGCAGCAGGTAGGTATGGCGGCAACCAGGATGCAGACCGGGAATGGACACAGGATCGTAGATGCGGCAGCAGGCAGGTATGGCAGTAACCAGGATGAGGGCCAGGTGCAGGAGTGTAGGTGCAGCAGCAGGTAAGTATGGCGGCAACCAGGATACAGGCCAGGTGCAGATACAGGTAAGTATGTGCAGCAGTGTCAGACAAGCCAGGTCAGGATCAAATGAGCAAATCAAGTACAAGGGAACAGGCAAGCGGTAGTCAGGGATAAGCCGGGGTCGGTGCAGGCGGAGTTCCTTCTTAGTCAGGGTCAGATCAGTTACAGGCAACAGAATCAGGTTATGGAGTGCAGAACATTATAGACCAGAAGGCATTGACTAAACTGTACTGGGGATTTAAATAGCTCACCTTGCGGTGACGTGTACGCTAGTGCGCATGCGCGCCCGCATGCTCCCGCGCATGCGCACTCACACCACTGCGGCCAGAGGGGATCCGGCGCCGACGCTCCGGCACAGAGGAGGGATCCCTGGCAGTGCCCCCTCTCTAAGCGCAGCCTCCGGATACCCAACTGGGACATCTTCTTGGATGCCTGTGCTTGAATGCCACTGCCAGGGATCGCCGCAGCGCTGGTCCCGGCGCAGGCGCAGTGCGCCACCCTGCACGGGGATGCGGGCACTAGGTCCAGGCCGGCCGCGGCGTCGAACTTGCGCATGTGCACTAGGAGACACGGGTGCGTGCCGGGCACCAATGACGGCGCATGGCACGGTATTTAAATCGCCCTGAGCTGTCACTGGTTGCTGTTTGGTCCTTTCCTGTTCCCTGATTTGTGTACCTATGTTTTTGATAAGTTGACCTGGCGTGTGACCCGACTATTCCCTGCCCGCTGTTTTGTACCTCGCAGACCCCACGGCTCCCGACCGGCTTGTTTGACCCTGCACCTGCTCAGCCATCTATCCATCCCGTCGGGATCGCCCGACCTCCTCATATCAGGCTCTTACTCTGCGGGAGCCCTCGGCAGATACCTCTACCA